GTTCTAAGGAGCCCGCCACTATCGAACAACAAGTACCGGAATCCTATCAAAGCAGAAACCTATACGAAGGGACAAGAACAAAGGGTTGGCTTTCCTGCTTTGCCATGCTTGGGCTGGGTGATCATCATACTCGACTGTCTTGCTTCAGTTGTATTACCTTCAGCGGTGTGGGATATTATCCCTAAGCCATAAACCAACCCTGAATATCCTGAATCATAAACCCTGAATATCCTAAAAGCTCACAGTTATTCTGGGTGAACTTGTAAGGCTAGGTTTGGCTTTGGGGTTGAGGGCCACATTGCGGGTGCTGGCTTTATTTAGGGTTTGGGGTTTAGGCCTTAGGGTGCATTATGTCTAGCAGTATGTACCCCAAGCCCTCAACGACCTGAAACCCCAACCTTGATCATAAACCTTCAGCCCCGGTCAACCTGAAACCTAAACCCTTAGACCCTTAAATCTCCAAACCCTTAAACCCTTAAACCTCTACACCCCTAAACCCCTACACCTCCAAACCCCTAAACCCTTGAACCTCTAAACCTCTAACAAACCCCTAAACCCTAAACCCTTAAACCTCTAAACCTCTAATACACCCCTATCCCCTAAACCCTTAAACCCTTAAACCTCTAAACCTCTAATACTCTTTTACACCTCTAAACCCTAAACCCTTAAACCTCTAAACCTTCGACTTGAAACTGAAGCGGCGGCCTTCTCGATAGAGCCACGGACGGAGAACTTCAGGCCATTGACATGTGCCTCTAGGGTTTTTAGGCTTTAGGGGTTTAGGCTTCAAGGGTTTAGGGGGTTCAAACTTGAGGGTTTGGGGTTTAGGGGTTTTGGGGTTTAGGGATTAGGTGCCGAAGCTATACATGGAAACCTTTTCTGGCTTACTTGGAGGTTCATGGGACCTAGTAAGTGCTGTTTTAAGTACTTTAACTCGGGCTAGAAGTAATTTCAGGTATAGGTACCATATTTATAGCGGGTTTAGGGCCCAGGGGTCACAGTCTAAGATGTTCCCCTCCACTGCGAAATCATTAAGGGTTTAGGGTTTGGGGCTTATATTTACACTGGAAGATCACTAGAAGTAATGTTCTCATAGTTTCAGAGGATCTGACTCATTAGTTACTATCTGAAGTAAGATAAAATGTGTGAAGTATGGGGTTTCCTTGTGCTTTGCTGTGCTGATTGCCCGAACATGAGCGGAAGTGAGGCTCGCCTGATGCGACCCCTAATCACCAGACTACTAAACCCTAGCCCGAGGCGGTTCGGGGTTAAGGGTCCAGGGATTAGGCCATCCCTAACACGGATTATGAAATGTATGCTAATGCAACCTATTTGCTAATTTCAAGATCTCTTAAGCCACTAGTCCTGGACCCCGGAACCATCAAAAGAATGAAAGCCCTCAATCCCCAAACCCCCTAAACGCCCTAAACTCCTAAGATCAGGTCTACCCTAAACCCTACTAAATCCTGAAACCACCAAAACCCTAAACCCTGCAACCCTGAGAACCCCTAAACCCCCAAGCCCTCGTACTCAAAATTAGCTCGTCAAGGTGCTGTATCCGGAGCAAGGACCCCTACTGCTTGAGTCTCGGCAGGATCGTCCGACGACCGCTTCATAAACCCCTAAACCCTAAATCCCTAAACCCAAAACCCTCAACCCCAAACCCTGAAATCCTGAAAACCCTTAACCTTAAACCCTCATCCCTGAAATCCCTGGGTTCTTCTCGAAGAACCTCCAGGTTGCCAAGGCTGCCCCTCGCCCCTCTGCTGATGTTCGGCCTGGGGGCGACAGGGCCTACCTACCTTTTGGGTCTCCTTAGTACCCTGTTTTGTTCGAGCTTTTTAGGATTCCTTATCATGATGTCTTTACAGAGTTTCTTGAAAAGGATGTTGTTTTCGTTTAGGGTCTCGGAGTTTGTGTGTTAGGGCTTTGGGAGTTTTCGGCGCGCAGGGTTAGAGGTTGTGTGTCGTGTGGGCGGGGGGGGGGGGGGGGGGGGGGCATTCGTTTCGTCAGAAACCCTAAACCAAAAGTTAACCCGGAATAACTTACCCTTTTAAGGACTTATATACGGAAATCATAACAGGGAACCCTAAAAGTGTAGGTTCTTTAGGGTCCAGGTAAACTCTCATCTGCTGAGTGCATCCGGGGACTTCGCAAGTTGGGCCGCGCAGTTCGCAGTTCACTAGGCTCCCAAGCCTTCCCTTCCTTAAAAGGATGTATTCGGGTACCTTTTAAGGGGTTCCTTTAAAGGGATCTAGGGGTATCTTCGGGTCCTTAAGGTCATGCAAGATTTATATCGTCAACCGTAAGGGTGCCCTTCCCTGCTATCATCGAAGCCGAGACTCTTATTTCAAACAACATACTGTCTTGGCACTCTTATTTTAGTCTTGGCACTCCTATTTTTCGGTGCCATACCAAAAAATGTTATTGTAGCTCAAGTTGAAAACTAGCTCGGACTCAGGCTCCAGGAAAGAAATGCCTGAGGAGCGTTCTTCAAGCTGATCTCTCATTCTCCGCCCCGGGAGGTTGTGAAGAGCTCCACCGTGCAAAGCTTAACGTAATACAGGGCCTTAATAATTAGAAGAGGGTTTCTGGGTATATTATACTATCATTATGATAAGGAACCCCACAATATCCCACAATAGTATAGGTAATTATTTAGGCCCCTGCAGTCACAAGGGCTTCTTAAGGATACTGTGATGAAGCCTACTGTAACGGCTACGATTACGTAGGGTTGCGAAAAGAATGCCTCATAGTTCTGCTCCACAATGTCACAACCCTAAACACTGAAGCCCTCAAACTGAAAGCCAAGTGGGTGGTTGTCAAATCAGGGATCCTTTTCGGGCACCCTAAATATTAGGTGCCGTACTATATTAAGGACGCAACAAGGGACCAGAATTTTGACAACCACCCAAGTATCTCTAAACCCCCAGCTGCTGACCAAGAAGCTCACGGGCTTTTTAAGCAGCTTCAGAACTAGAACGAGGGATTCTTGGCTTCTTAGGAGACCACGAAGCCCAAACCGTAAACCTCGAAATCCCAATCGTTATAACAAACAGCAGACCTTATAGAAACCCTTTAGTGTCCTGGTAGCAACACTTATAGTAACCGTGTTTGGTTGAGTCCCGAACCGGATGTTGACGTCGCGGATGCAAGGGCAACCCCTGCATCAGGCTCCGGGCGCTGAGCTTCTACCCTGACGTGCTGTGCCTATACTGCTGCGCACAGGACTATGCAAGCTGTTCCTGTACAGAGGAAAGTAACCTTTAGTAATAATTAGAGATCCCTCCGTATGCAGTCTCATCGTAAATAGGTAATTGTGTGGGCTGTCGCGATAAACCAGGATCAGCAGCTACTGCATTGTTTCGGATGCAATGTGACGAAGAATGAAGCTCAAAGTCCGAAGCTTGGGCACTGGATAGTCAATCGCAGTGTAGAAACTCTACATCCTACTATACAGGTACTGAGGACCCTAAACCCTTAAGGTACCCTTAAAGGCACCCTGAAAGTACCCTCCATCATAGTACCCTTCAATGTAGGCCCGGGTTTTTCTGAACAACCGCCAACCCGCAGCGGCCTAATACGGGTGCGTTTTCATAATTACCAACACCATTTTGGCGCTTCATCAATATAATTATAGTATAGTGGGCCTATTCTAATCATTATATAAGGACCCCATATATAACACCCACCGAAGCTCTGAACGACGACATAAGTCTGGGCTCCGTGCTTAAGCTCGCGAAGGGGCACAGCCTCCAAAGCAGTCTTTGTTTCTTCAAGGTTACCCTTTACATGGCATTGCAAGGCTTGGGGATGCGAGGTAAAACCCGGTTTACAGTCTCAAGAGAAGTCCCCCCCAGTGGGTGATTAAATGTCGTTCTCCACGAGATACAGCAGATCCGTTCTGCTGCTGCTTTTAAGGCCAGATGCCACTGCGGGGATCTGCGGGGTATCTAGAAGTCGGTGTTACCGGGTAATAAAGGTTTCGATGGGTTTCCTCATACAAGCTTGGGCAGCTCGCGGTATATCGGGGCCCAACGAAGCGCGACGCAGAACGCGGCCATCAATTCCTGGGCAAGCTAAACTGCTCTGTTCATGAGTACTCATCAGTACATGTGCAAGAAAAGAACTGAGCAACACCGGCAACGACGACTCGACGGGGCTCTTTGTACATGTCTAGTCAAAGTTGACTACCAGTAAATATATGTACACTACTTACCAAAAAAATATGAATCAACATATTATACGATTATACGTACCAACTCGTGTCTACATATATACATATATATATATATACGTACACATATGTTTGAACCACGTTTATGCCTTTGTATATATATATATATATATATATGTATGTGCGTGTGTGCGTGTGTGTACTAGCTATTGGATAAGTCTTTAGACACATTGGTATGCATGCATATGTGCCCAAGCAAGCTATACAATGCCACATGTGAATAGGACACCGAGAGAGCATGCAACGCCCCCGCATTTTGCATGGCAGTCGAGGACGCCTGCTCCTGCTGTGCTTCCTGTCGGTGCGCCGCCTGCCCAAGGCAGAAGGATCTTGGGATGGGTTAAGTTCTGTTAGATGTAGGTATTTCCGTGAATCAGGCCCCAGCAGAAAGGCTCGGATGCTAACATGGAAGTACGTTGTCTGTGGCGGATGCAAAAGAGGACCCTAATCCGAAGACCGTTCTGATTACAGACATCTCCGCCAGCAAGCACATAAAGAGAGAGTACTGTGATGACCGATGGACTTCGTAACTGAAGCAAGGATGAAGCATGAGGACATGTTGTTCGATTTATCTACGCAGGCCCTCACACTCAAAAGAAGCTAAATTCGCCTGCTCCAAATCACACTCTACACACAAGTAGATAATGCCCACAAAATCGCCTGAGGACAAGGAACCCTTCAGCTCAAACGTGTCTCTGTTCCGCATGCCTGGTCGCAAGTGCGGGAACTAGGGCTGTGAATGCTACTGACCTGAGCTTCTGACCTAATCCGTTGGCAGCTGCATCTGCACCATCGTCTCAACAACACCTAAGAAGGTTTCTCTGGATGTGTGCGCTCTGACATACCGGATGACCTCATTTCGGTTCGTCAAGAGCGCCTTTATGAAGTCCTGCTGTTTGACGGCCACCTGTAGGAGGATGTCCGCCGAAGATTGGCGGAGCACCTCCAAGTCCTCCTCGGTGCTCTCCTCGGCCACGTGCCCCACGCACCTCTGGTACTGTCTTTTGAGGCCGTGCCTGTCAGCTTGCAGGAGGCGAGCGCAAGTGGGCGCAAGACTAAGCAGCAGATCCTCACAGGTTTGCTTGATAATCTCCACCTGGTAATAGTCACTGATTGTCAGAAGGGAGTCAACATTCGCCTCCGTGACTTTATGGGTGCTCCATGCCCAAGGACCAAGTAAGTTATAGAAGGTGGCGAACTCCTCTTTGCTGGCCACATCCACCTTGATGACGCTTTGCTGCTGTTCCTTCATGCCACTTGTGAACATGCGGTTGAACACTGGAGAAGCCACACGGAGCAGATGAGAGCTGGCCAGCATGGAGCTCTCTGTGTCGTCCCCAAACTGAAGACGCACATCGCCGACCTGCTCTAGACTGGCGGCGGTCGGTGTCTTGATGTTGTCGGCTGCCTGCGATTCCATGTGCTCTGCTGTTCTTTTGGTTCCCCTCTCCATGGTGGCCATTGCCCCAGCAATGGAAGTTGTTGCGATGCAATGCGGCTTTGAGCTACACCGGTGCTACTTAGTACTTCGCTACCGGATCCGTCGGCCAAGCAATGCTAGAAAAAACATGACCAGCATGCAGAGCTTAAAACAGCGAAGACTAAAACTCAACATTGCGGTATTCTCTGAGGCTTGCAGACTCAATCTTTCAGAGCAACGAGAAACTCTGCACGTCCTTTTACGACCAGGACAGTGTATTTTGCTTCTGTGAGTCGACTATGCTTGCTGGAGCCGCCTCTTCATCATGCGCACAAGTCTCTCAAGAACGGTTTTGGGGATTTCTTATTATTTTTACAATTATAGTATAGTATACCCCCAAACCCTATTCCAATCCTTAGGGCCCCTAGAAAACCAGCGAGACTAACCCCAGGCCCTAGCTGTAGCCATGAAGCCGATATGACTTACAATCTTGAAGCCTGCTTTCCATACCCTCGAGCTCCAAATGGCCCAAAGAAGGTAGTATGTATAGACGCAGACCGCGACCCCAAAGTAGGTACCTGGAGCCCTGGGGATATGACCGTCCCCCGACTGAAATTCCAAGTGCAAGGAAAAGTTCTCAGCCAAACAATACTCTATTTCAGGTGCAGAGCTGCGCAGGACTTTAGACTTGCAAGCCCGGAACTCGCGGCCGCCCTTGAGCATGCACATGAAGCAACCCCCAGCCCTGAACCCGAAAGGCTAAAACCAGAAAAGAACCGCAATCCAAAGCAATCAGAGGAGGACGAATCTTGCGTTTCGGCTCGAGTTTCGGGAGCCCCCGAAAAAAGCTTGCAAGCATTCTAGTAAACCCCGTACAGTTGGAAACCGGATTGAGGCCCAATAATGCTGGGGTTCCCTTTACATTACTCTTTACGGATTGAGGCTGTTGTGTATCCAACTTTCGGGCTTCTACTGTAGGGTTGTTTCAGGCTTTCATAGCTTCCTTTCACGGATAGGGTTTTGTAATTTCCCTCTCGAGGGTTCTAAGGTTTCCGTTTTTTAGGGTTGAAGGTTACTCAAAACCTCTACTTGGAGGGTCGGGGGACTTAGTAAGTAGGTGGTAAGTAGACTTATAAGTACCCTAAAAGGGACCCTAATTGGGGTTATGGTACTTATAATTCCCTAGAATAACCAGTTACGAAGTCCCCCGACCCTCCAAGTAAGACCCCAGGTCTCTCTAAACCCTCATTTCAATCCAGGAATCGGCTTGGAGGTGAAGATGCTTCCCTAGGGATCTAAGGACTCATGTATTCAGGCTTCTGGGCCTAAAGACCATACTATACAAGGCTTTTGGGCTATTCTGATCCCTAGGGTTTGAGGAGGCTTTGTGAAGATCGGGACATCTAAGATTCCTCTTTGCAACGACGCTGCATGGCTTAGTGTATAGATCTCTCAAAGACCGTCCTCTGTGCCCAGATCTCCCAATAACCCTTGATTGAAGGAAGATGGCGCAAGTTATAGTAGGAGGGTTTCCACCATGATTTAAGGTATACTCCGCAACTAAGGATTTTTGGAAGGTTCTGGTAATAACACTCTGCGAATCAGGTCAAGGAGCGCTGTCCTTACTGAGGCAGCGCTTGGCACAAAACCCTGCATCAACCCTGAAACCTATACTCTAACCATGGACCCTATAATCTAGAGTCCAAGAGTCCTAGATGGCTACATTGTTTTACAGACAGTGAATCTCCCAAGCCTGAAACCCCTCAGCCCCATACCCCATTTCCATAAAGCCCTGCCTTATCCTACCAAACCCTACTGTTGTGTAGGGTCCATATAAACTTCATAATAGGTTCAGAACAAGAACCCACAAAAAGGAGGGTTTGGTATGGAAAGGTACAACCTGAACAACAACCCTAGAACCCTTTGCCCTGCAGTAAAACCAACACCCGGAACCCTAGCCCTGAATTTTCAACCCACCTTGATGCCGTTTTCTTTGATTTTCCTCTGGGCCTGTCAGAGAGGTGTATTATGCTTGGGTTCAAGCAGCCCAACACCCAAAACACTGTTTCTTAGAAGTACCAGAAAGTAATAAGCCAGCATAAGGCCTAGCAAAGCGAGGTGCTGGGTTGTCGAGGTTTACGGCCTAGGGTTTAAATTCAAACCAAGAGGCTTTAAGCCGCTATGGTTTGTACAGAACTCTAAATCTTGAACGGTAGCTTCTCTGCTTCAGAGCTTGTAGCCATACATGTTGGAGATGGTCACTGACTTGAGGTGCTGGGTTTTGGACGCGCGGTGCCAGGTTCTAGACTTGGGGCTATTGGGGTTTGCGGTCTAGGGGCTACGGGGCTCAAGATTGGGTACCCTGAAGTAAAGTTTCCGAAAAGGTCCGAAATGATGCAATAACCTCAATATAAAGTCCATAAATGAAGTGATGAAGCTGTAAGGTCTGTACTGAGTGCACGCGAAAACGCCGACCTTGCTCGAGCACTGTAAACTTGTAAACCCTTTATGTGAATCAATAGCTCGACTCACGCACTCGATCAACCTCAACACTTGATGGTTCTGGCTAACAAGGATTGCTGCTACAATCTTCTGTCATTTTCCGCATCCTTACTTCTCCAGTATCGTGGGGGAGTTAATGGGGGCATATCATCGGACCCCAAAAAACATGAAAGGCTTCGTGCTCTGCCAAGTTTTCGTTTTCTGGTTCAAGGCTGCTGATGCATCTCGTGGCCACGGCTTGATCAAAATTCGACTTTCTTCAGCTGCGCAGCAGAAGGGTTCAGATTTTGGGTTTAAGGTTTAGGGGCTTGGAGTTGCGGTCAGAATTATATGTGGACACAGCCCTTACAGCCCATGCACTCCAAACGCGTGCTGAAACATTCTCGACGACCTCAACTATACATCTGGATGCATATGCTTTGATTCGTGCAACGGATCCTGCAAAAAACTCGAAGCCTGAACCATCCTAAACCCCCAAACCTACGTAGACTTCCCAACTACCCTCTAATATACTCCAAATACCCACTATTAATGGCCATGAGGGTTCTATTAAAGGGCTCTTGGGGGGTCCAGGTTTCGAACCCGTGATTCTTGAATCTCCAAGCCTCTCTCCTAAAAGAGTGCCTCCCTGAGGTCGTTGATACACGCGTCAAACATTTCAGTCTCGCGGCTCTTGAAGAGCAACTCCTCATGCAGAGCTCGCGCTTTCCGGGTTGGGTTTAGGGGGTTTAAGGCTTAGGCTTAGGGTTTAGGGTTTAAGGTTTAGGGTGTACCTTAACCTACCAAACTTTACTTGTTTGTAGGGTCCCTCTAAACTCCGTATTCATTAGGGTTCACAATAAGAACCTACAAAAAAGTCGAGTTTGGTAGGTTGCGGTAGGTGTGTAGGCTTTGGCGGTTTAGGGCTAAGGGCCTACCATGGAAATACGGTCTGAGGCTAAGAGGCACAGCACTGGCGGATCTTGCTTTGTAGCGTGTTTGGGACGGGGCCGTTCTAAAGCCCTAAACCCCTCAACCCTGGGTTTGGGTTTAGGGTTTGGGGTTTTGGGGTTTTGGGCTTTATTTAGGGTTAAGGGTTTGGGATTTTGGGCTTCTTTACGTAGGGTTTAGGGTTTTTGGGTTGAAGTGCACATAGGTCCCGGAATGGTTCCTCGCGGGATTGAAGATTGAATGCTGCAGTCTGTACTTTGTGTCTCTGTGTTCTGCCTGTTGCTTAAGCAGTGTACAATGCTTTGGGGTTTAGGGTTTTTAAGGCTCAATTAAAGTTTAGGGTTGAGAGTATCGGAAAAAGGTTGAGGGTTTAGTGGAACAGAATGGCTCGTGGACCCAATCCGGTGGGTGCTGCAACGGGAGGATTCTGGGCAGGCTCCATGGTCCGAAGTCCTAAGTACAGGCAACCACCCTGAAGCCTAAACCACAGGGTCGGGGGACTCAGTACGTAGAGACTCATAAGTATGATAACCTCAATTATTAGGGTCCCTTTTCGGGTACTTAGTATTATAAGTCTACCTATAACCTACTTACTAAGTCCCCCCGAAGTACAAGAAACCACCCTGAAGCCTAAACCCTGACTTAACACCACATGACCTGCCGGTTTAGGGCTCCTTATTTGGATTTCCTCATATCAGTCCTAAAAGCCATGAAAACCTAGAGCCTAATCCTAAAACGAAACCCTAAACTGCATAAATCCTAAAACTTCACCCTATTTGCATGGGGCTTTGATGTTAGCGGATTTAAGGCATAGAATTTTTGGACCCAGGGTTTCGACACGGTATTTCTGTCTTCGGGTCACCTTCACGTACGCGGTGTTCTCTGTGCTGGCGGGGTAGTCGTCAGCGCTTTTCCCCTGCGCGCCAAAAGGGCCGATACTGGAAATCATAACAGCCAGCCCGAGGGGTACCACGGTTGATGATAGAAATCCCGCATTACCCATAACAAGGAATATGCCATAATTCCCATAGCTTAGGGTCTTTAAGGTAATGCAGGAGTTATATCATCAACAGCAGTAGGGCTCAGGCTTTATTGAAGAGGGCTGGGGCTTTAGGAGGCAAGTTTTTCGAGGCATCGGGCTTGTGCCACTGCAGCGACCGGAGATGCAACTTGCAAGAATCGGTGGTGACATCCCCTGTGATGTGATGACGGCTTAGGATTTAGTTTAGAGTTTCGGGACGGGGCCACTGTCTAGCCCGATCGTGGTCAACTGAGATATGACTGGCGAAACTAGAAGGATTACCATGTAAAGCTCAAGGCTAAAGGCACCGAGTGCATATGACAGTGTCAGATTTGGAAATACGGGATTAGGGTTCAGGGCTTCACGTAGCTTGAAGGCTGCTAAGGTATAGGATCCGGCATTGTTTGGATGGGAGTCTTATGTCAAAGAACATTGACCCCATTTCAGATCCTGGGTACTACGGCTGATGGTATAAACCCACAATAAGGAATATACCATAGTTGCCATAGTTTAGGGTCCTTGAGGTAACTCAGGGTTTATATCCCAGACCCTAGACTTTTAAACCCTCTATAGATCCCTTAAAGGAACC